TACAAAGTTAAAGGAAGGGCCAAATGGGTGGCTTCCTTACTGTGTGGGCTTGGGCAGGTCACTGATAAGCTTCTCAACTTTCAGTTTCTTCTGCTGTGAACTGATACTTTTAAATGATCATTAGAAACAATGTTTAAATGAGCATCAGAAACAATATTTCCCTGGCAGTGACAGTTATGACTATTGGACACAATGGATGCAAATTCAACCTCCCCAATAGCAGAGAGTCTTTACCATGCTTAGTATCCATTTAATAGTCCATTCCAGACAGGAAAGAAGACTAAGAAATTTTTCATTTTATTCCACTCAATCAAAATAATCCTATTGGGTAAATCTTCTTATCATTGCTATAAGCAAAGAATAGAAAAAGAAAATAATTTAAAATTCCATATTTAAAGCAAATCCCTACAGAAAAGTACAGACTTAACTCTTTAAGGGTAGCAACTCCAGATCAGCATTAGTTACAACACATTTAATTAGGACTACCACTGTAGCTGCCTTGTACAACAGGAATGGTTGTGTGGTGGTGGTGGTGGTTTCATATTCTGAGAATGAGCTCATCTAGAATTTAATATAAAATAGATATTACAGGGGTGAGGAGAGGTGCCTTATAAGTGGGCAATGGGAAAACCATAGGAGAACCCAGGTGCAATCTACCTGTGGAAGATGCCAAATAATCCTAAATCAGGTGTTCATAATCTAGGGAATTCCCTGATTTGATGTGTATAAAATTTGCTAATACCCTGTAACCCTATACTCAAAAATTAGGTATACAGTAAATCTCTTGGTTCATAAGGAAACTGATATTTACAAATAAATGTTTTTGTTCACCTGGAACAATAAGCCAATTTCTCCCCATAAATTGGGATTATCCAGCAATGTCTCACTTTACATACATAACCAGAATCCAAACTAGTTCTGAAGCAAAACCAAACTAGTGTTAACTAGTTTAACTTCATATACTGACTGTGATGTATATCAGGTTATCAGTTTAGGGTAAAGGACAGCCCCAGATAACTTGGCACCCAAAATATTATCAATCTGGATATTAACTGAAGTTGGCAAAGTCTGTTTTTATTTGTGAAAGAAATTATGCTTATAGACAGTACAGCTCTTAAGAGAGAAAGTAAGAAAGATCTTTAAGAGAACAAATGGTATGTTAGGGGTTGGATCACAGCTTAAGGATGGGGTACTTGCCTAGTATGAATGAGGCCCTGAGTTCTATCTCCAGCTCCCCTGAAGCAAGTGTGTGTGATAACAGATTGATCCACTTAAACGGGTTAATCTGGTTATAACATTTCTTATTTGAAAGGAATACTTTCTTTTTTCCTTTTCAATTTTTATTCATTTATTCAATTAATTTATTTTTTGAGATAACAGCCTGTATGTCATCTCAGCTGGCCTGAAGCTTGACTCAAGAATGAGGCCTCCCAAATAGCTGTTACTACAGGATCTACCACTACGCTTGACCACTATTTTTTCTATTTCTTTTCTTTGATCTTTTTTCATCCTTTTCTTTCTTTTGTTTGTTTGTTTTGGTTTTGGTTTTTTTTTTTTTAATTTTTGAGACAGAGTTTCATATAACCAAGGTTTGGCCTTGAACTCACCATACGGCTCCACCTTCTAAGTGTTGAAATTATAGATGTATGTTATTATGCCCAGGTCTGTAGTTTTTTGGGTTTTTTTTTTTTAGGAATTAATTTGTCAATTGCTCCTGCAATCTCAACACTTGAGAGGCTGAGGCAGAAGGAGCTGAATGAGTTCAAGGTAAGCCTAGGCTACAGGGTAAGGTCCTGTCTCAAAAAAAAAAAAAAAGAATTCATCCCCCAAACATTATTACTTGCCAGGATAGGTGTGGAAATACGAAGATAAAAATGTTCTTTCTCAGAAGGATTTTCTAGTGCAATGGGAAGACACAGGTAAACTGCTAAGTGTCATACTAGGAGGCTGGCCCATAAGGGAAGCAGGATCAAGCCATAGGCAGGGAGCCTGGAAAGGCATCTTTCACCCTCTCCTGGTTCTGAAGGCACTGGACACACATGGTGCATTTACATACATGTAGGCAAAACACTCATACACATAAAACAAAATAAATAAAAATTTAAGAGTAGAACATTTAAAAAAATATGTAATTAAATCTTTTAAAATGACTCTGATGTGTGTGGTGGTGGGGTACCGCCTGAACCCTATACCACCTTCACTCCACTTTCCCTCAGGCTAATATCAAAACTAAGGTCTTCATACTGGCACTAAACTTCAGTTGTCTCCAATCTGTGACAGATCCTGGTTTGGGTTTTTTTTTTTTTCTTCTTCTTTCTTTCTTTCTCTTTCTTTCTTTCTTTCTTTTCTTTCAGGACCTTGATACTTGGAAGTTACCTCATCAGGTATTTTCTAGAACATGCTTAGTCTTGTGTGCCCCATGTTTTTTAGAGAGTATGCTAATGACAGAAGAATACTGTGGATGAGATGTGCCCTTTCCAGTTTACCATCACACAGGATATTGGTGTATCTTGTTCTGGGTGGCACTAACCTTGCTCATTTGTTTAACGTGCTGTCTGCAAGGATTTTTCAATATAAGTTGTTTTACATTTTGTCATCAATAAGCATTTTAAGAAAATCTCTAATGTTTTCAGGAAAGAAATTATCTGGAGGTTTTATTTTTAATTGAAAATAATTTTTAATGATGGCATGAGTCATTTAGTTGACAAAGTCATAGAGGCAGAGCAATGAGATTACATGAAAAACATTCAAGCATAAGGTCTCTTCTGAATGAATATCTATTAATGTCTCCAAACTCCATTTTCCAGGGGAAAAGAACGTAAGAAAGCTAAGTGTGGTGTCTGCC